TAACCCATACGTCAGTGGTAAAGAGCTGTGATTCTGCACCTCTCCCACATATGAAACGCCAAGCTCTCTGCACATGTTTCTTTGCTCTGTTCAGGAGATTCATGCGGTCACATGACCACACCTGTTTTGGCCCTGCGGGCCTGTAAGTGTGTCAGTCTGCTCAGCTGATAACACAGAAGCCTCTGTCACACTTCTGCAAAGAGTGTTTGCTAAGAAACCAAATCGCATGAGGAGTGTTGTGACAGACCTCGATGTGGCGTTTAAAGACTGTCCAAGCGGTTATTTCTGAAAGTGTGTCACGCCGACTCTAGTGTCGTGACACATTTCAATAACTATAATCTCAATCACAGTATTTCTCAATAAGGCCATTTTGTATGCAGCAGACGACACATCACCATGTAGGAAGTTCAGTCCTCACTTCAGGAAGTTGCAATTTAGTTGATGGTGTGCAATTGCATGGCTTTCGATGCCACGGGTAAACATAAACTCAAGGAAACTTGCTCTCACATAAGTGGCCCGAGCACTCGACATCAACCCTATTGGTATGGGGAGGGAAAAAAAAAATCTGATGTAGATGTAGGCTCCACTGATGTAGAGGGGCTTGAGACAACTGTCTCTTTGAATTATGCCGTTTTGCCCGTCATTACATCCCACAGTTTTCAAGAGCATGTTTTTCAAGTCAAGATGTGGGGTAATGTGAATGAATGGTAGTGATACATCTGGGCCATCACCACGACAAGCAAAGATTAAAAAGTCTCACCTTTTCAGAGGATCCAGGAAACATAAACATCGGTGGCACTTTGTATCATCCAACCCCACCACATCGATCCGAGATATAACTAGCATAAACCTACACTATAGAATAGGATTGAATTGTTAAAGGGTTAATGACAAATAAAGAGCTCCAAAAATAAGAGAAAAATCATTGTGTTTAAAAATGCATGTGGCAAGTTGTTAGAAATGTAATTGTGGTTTTATACGTGCTCACAAATTTTGACATTGTTTTCAACAAATCATACATTACATTTTTTTTTTCTTTTCTCTCTATGGTGCAGAAATTTCACCTTTAATGACTCTGAAAATCCCAAGTGGTATAACCATTAAGAAATAAATATATGTTCCTTTCACCTTGAAGATGTGTATGTTTAATGAATGTTTTTAAACATTAATACTTAAAATAATCATTGAGTCATATACATCAGGAAATTTTCTTGCCATGTCATTATTGTTTATTTTAAGGGACACATAGTCTGAGTCTACAGGAGTCCCCTCTGTTTTATAGTTTTCTTGTCACATGGTAACACAATGGCTCTCTGTCTGCTGGTTATATTACACTGGCTTCAATGTAACGAACAAATGTTTGGAAACATTGAGGATTGTTCAAAACAAAACTACTGACTTATCCATAAAATTAATAAGCTACTTAATGAAAATAATTCTGCCAAGACTTTCAGGCTTTTAATATAACCAAGATATATACTTTACCTAAGCTACTTAAGTACTGTGTGTATGTTATGTTGTTATATTTGATTATTATTTTTATCATTATTATTAATAGCTCTCTACACAAGAACATCTGAGGGCAGGATTTTGACTAGGTCAGATAAACATATTAAAATAATTAAAAGGGAAAATACTAGAATTTTCACGCATGCTGTTATTATTGTTACACAGCACTGGGCTCTGAACATTAGAGTTATAGTTTGCAGTGTCTTAACAAGCACATACTATACAAGGCTAATAAGTGCTCTTATTATGTCAGAGTTTTCATGTTTGCAATTTACTTGCATTTCTGTTTGTTTGTTTGTTTGTTTTTGAGCAATGGCACAATACTTTAATTGACAACTATTATACACATATAAAACTTTACCAACGTCAACACTTGCATAAAGCGAAAAATACTTTTTAAAAATCTCAGCTGGTTGATCATTTATAACATCACCAATTGTAAGCTAGCCAATATTCACTATTCACTTCACTATTTCTGTGAAGCTGCTTTGAGATAATCTATATTGTGAAAAGCGCTATGCATATAAGATCAACTTCTAGTCGACTACCTTCCAGTTGTGTTTATCATTCAGGATTGACAGAACATTTTTTTTTTATGATTTCCATTTTTTTTTTTTTTATTTCATTAGTCTGTAAACAATTTATAAAACATGCTTATTTATATCTTCAAAGCTAATCCATTGCTTTTATTGCCTTGGTGCAGCAATGAAACTGTGACCTTTAATGATTATGGGATCAGTTTTTATATGATGATGATGCTAAGGTGAATGACCTAAGTGCTCATAAGTAGATGACAATATTGTCATTAATGATGACAGTCTCAGAAAAATCAATGCTGGGGTTGCATTTGCTCCTCCACACTGACACACTAATGTAGGGAATATTGCTGTGGACGCTCACCTTCATGAAACACACTTCATGTTGCCTAACCACAGAAGACTACAGACATGCATTTGATGCTACCTGTCATATTAATCACATTGAATAAATGAGCAACAGAATCTGAAGAAAAAAAACTGAACTGAATTTAAGACATTTCAGAGATTTTACAAATCGTTTAGAATCTCTACATACTGTATGTCTTTTTTTTATTATTATTATCATCAGTTTTCATGAACCATTTTCAAACACTCTATGTGGTTTTAAGAGATGGTGGGGAATTAAAATATCCCAAGACTAAAAACAGAATGCTTTGAAATTAACTACTGCATCTTTATTACTTATTTTGATGAGCACATTTGCTAGTGATTGCAGAATTGCTGTTGAAGGGAACTTGCAATGACGTTTCCCTTTGCAATGCTGCACTGGGGTCGCAAGACAATTTTAGTATCAATAGCTAAAGCCTTGTCTGTCTGCAATGCAATTAAAAACTCAATTTTGGTAGAGCGTTGCAGCCCACGATAAATGGGACCTCATCCTCGAATTGTTCTTCAGACTGGTAAAAAAAAACACGGAGGACAGACAATGCAAGGCTATGTGTGCCTTAGTTAAAAATCTCAAAAAAGACTCAAACAAATCTCAAATAATGTTATTACAGATGTTGAATTGTGTTGAAATTATGTATTATAGATTAATGTGTAATTCTAATTTTATATTGTGTATTGATCGGTTGGGACAGGGCAAAGTTTCCTGAAGTTACACAGTACAAAGGCTTGCACAGCACTCACTAATATAAATACACAGTATTGAACACTGTGATATAAATAAAGTATACTGCATGTGTTCAGAACCATGGACAGCAGCCCGACTCAATAATAGCTGCAATATAAAAGGGTCATCGTAACAAAATAAAATTAGGTCCCTTTGCTGAGTCCACATTCATTATTCACTTAACTCATTACCACTATTTAGCAGTCTGTGTGAAAGACGGGTGTATTATGTTTTGTGGCGTTCACACAGTACGCATTCTTGCATTCCGCCTGCCTTGTTATTAATTGTTGTTCTGTGTACACATGCGTCAGATGGACGTTTTTGGTCATTGCGTCGCTTCTCGATATTTTTATTTAATTTTATTTATTTATTTATTTATTTTCCTGTTATGCGTTGCGTTTGAATGTGATGTGCCGAATGTTCCACTGTGTTGCATAAAAAAATGGATCTGTCATAGCTGGCGATCTGCGCACACACACGTCAAACGACATTTTTTGTGTTGGTCTCTCTGTTCTTTACGCGTTTGTGTCGCGTTTAAACGCGGTGTGCCCAAGCCTCAACTTTCAAAAACACATTTAGAAGCCGTTTTCTCTCTTTAAACCCAAAAGGTAACATATGACTGCTTTGCTTCATGCCGTTGATAATCCAATCGCTTCAAAGTATGACGCTACGGTGAACGAGTCCTAACAAAGCGATGGTGCTCAAAGGGCTTCATGTTATGCGTCTGCGCCTTCCTAAACAATGCCATACAGTCTTCCTTCCACGTGACACCCCATCTGCACTGAACGCTGTCTTATATTCAACTGACTGAGTTCGCGAGAGCGCAGCGAGCTGCCTGTAACGTCAGCAGTTCCAGTATCGTATTGACAGCGTGTGGTTAGTTGCGTCGCGTCACGACATAGATGATGCATTATTAGATTGAGTGTTGAAAAATAAATGCACACACCTAAAGACATCAAAAGGCTGCCTGTCACATGTCAAACGTTGCGTTTTAATTAAGATAATTACATGCGTTGAATAAACTCCACGAACCCTTGACAGGGTGCTGCTGAGGTCATTTTCATATGATATCGGTCCCCTTGAGGCCGGAGGGTTTCCACCTGTTTCTCAAGGCATTTTGACTCTTTCATGAAGTCTCTTAACCAGATGCATGCTCTCATGAATAGTGAGAATAACCACAGGTAGAATGCATTACATTACTTACCTAGTCATGTTTATATGTTTATATTTATATTTAAATATTAAATTAATTAAATATATTTAAGCATTACAACACACAGTCATGCGCTACATCATGTTAAAATACATTATATTCTTTAAACGTTTAGACATCAGTCGATGAGTATTACATCAACGGTAGTTTATAATATATACATATATATAAATATTAGGCCTATGATGCAGTTGTATTTGCTTACAATATACAGTATATTTATTTATGTTACAACTTAAAAAAGCGCTATAACTACGGTTACAACGTTTTATGGACAGATATAACTGTTTACAGTGTGCATTAAAACGCATTAGCTTTATTACATGAATATTTAAGTGTTATAATGCATTATAAATGTGGTTCCGTTGATTCGTGAACAACGTGTACTATGCTGCATCACGGAAACCTCTGTAACGCATGCATTAAATATACAGTACAGGCTTCATATAGAGTTTTACCAAATCTCCTTCGTCTTCAACGTCAGTTCAAGTTTGATCAATATCGCCCTGCTGGTCCAATTGGAGGAGCCGCTCGCACTCACTCTGAATGTGATGCTCTCAGTCGCCTCGACCATCTTCAGCACCAGTTCCCTCTCCCTCTTGCTCTCTCCCTCTCTCTCAGTCTGTCTCTGTTCTCACATGCAGAAGAATTGTTCTCCATGAGTCGCTCCGCTTCACTCACGGCTGGATTTCTGCGTTGATGATTCTCCTCAAACAGCTCGTTTTCTAAGGCTTGATTTTTGAGGCAGGAGAGAAAATGGCTCAAAGCGCGCTGCTTTTTTTATTATGGCTATTCGGCACATCTATCGCTGGCTTCCCCAATCAAATAAATATCGGTGAGTCCGTCATCAGGACATACTTGACTTCTTTTATCGCTAGGCTTTGTATGTCGATGTCTTATTTCGATGTATATGCATGTGTAGGTTATATATGGAGACGGTATTGTAGTCCGTTGTATTAAGTGCACTAACGCAATCTACGGAATCATCGCAAATGATACCAACAGAATTGTCATAAATAATAAAACGATTATGAGTATAATTATGCAAAAATGTTTAGGTTTCCACTCCGCATGCACGTCGGCTATCAATCGCTTTTCATAAACTTAAGAGAAAGTTCCTTCCTACGAATGGAAGGAAATCGAATCGAGTCTGTGTATAACAATGTTGGAACACATCCATAAATGTGTCTAAATGGATCTGACACTATCCAGTGCTGATTTAAACCAGGCGTTTTGTATTCATACAGTCTTTATATGCATGCAATCAGTGCATAATCTCTGATTCACTGCTGTTTGGTCTTCATAAAGGTGGGCTCTTCATGCGTTCCACCGTGCAAGAACACAGCGCTTTCAGATTCGCTGTGCAGCTCTACAACACCAATCAGAACATGACTGAGAAACCCTTCCATCTCAATTACAACGTAGATAACCTGGAGTCCTCCAACAGTTTCTCTGTCACTCATGCATGTGAGTACTATGAGCTTTTACCTGGATGCTGCTTCATATCACTGACTGAACGAGACTGTGGAATAATTGCTGGAATTTCTGTGCGAACATCTCTATGAACTGTGTTAATTATCATCTTTGTCAATCAGTAATAGACCAGTCACTACTTTGATAGATTTCAGCTTAATCCAGCAATACAACAAGTGGAGAAACACTGTAACAGGCCATTCTGCAGTGAAGAGTTTCTATTACCCCATATATTATCCCATAATCTTATAATGATCCAGTTATTGCTTTCAGTTGTGCAGAACCTATTAACATCAAGCCTCACTGTGGACTTCAAATGAAATTTATTGGTATTGAACAGCTTAATATTAATGATAATAATATAACTAACAGTAGCACAAATCATAATTAAAGCAAGGCATACTGTGTCACAAACAAAAATGGGAAAAACATACAAGGACAGAACAGATATGGTTGAATAGAAGCCAGAATTAGAAGCCAGAGTAACATAAAACAAAGGGATGTGTTTTCAGCTGGGTTTCGAGTTCGGGTAGGGTGGAGAGGTCACAGAGGGTCTGGCAGAGAATTTCATAGTTTCGGGCTGCTATTACTTTTTTCTATGCATCATGTTTTTTGTTTTTTCCTCTGAGGAACTTCTGATATTTATCAGAATTCTTGCTTTTGAAAATATTTTTTCCCCTCAGTTGTTGTGGTTGGCTTTAGCGTTACGCTTGCTCAGTACATGACAAGTCGTTTTGTATTTCTGCTTTGATGTTTTTGTGATTGAATCCCTTTGTAATTATGACAGTTCTTTTGCGGCACCCATGCTTGTCCAGTGTGATTTGCAAGTGAAAGTGTTGCAATAAGAGGATGAGCATTCAGTGATAGGACTGCTTCGTGAGCACAGTCTGTCGGTATTTCAAAATCACTTTGAATTCAAAAGCAAGTTCCCTTGGCAACACAGAATAACCCCGGCATTGTAGAGGTACAGATAGGTTTGAGAAAGATAACATAAATGATTACATAACATAAATTATTACAGTTTGTCATGTAATTATTGGAGGGACACAAACAAAATATTTAGTTTTTGGGAATATTAGTAGGTAATTACCTATTAGACTTCGTACACTCACTGTTTATCTTAGGGTTTTTTTTTTTTTCTTAAATAGTGATCAACCCAATATTGATATTTAGAGAGGCAGATGGTAAATGTACGTATACACAAAATGATCCACTGGTAAAGCTAATGGTAGCTTTTGGAAATGACTGTATGACCATGTCAATAAGGACACATTGCATGATTCAGTGAAGCCAGGATAAAAACTAAAAATTAATTGTAAACAACAACAGAAATTAACTCTTCCAGTAAGGGGAAATCTTTGACCCTTTATTTTGATTCCCAGTGGCATTTTTATTCATGTATGTATTTATTTATGTTACCTTGATGAGTGCAATTTTTGTAACTTTTTTAAATGTGTGCCAAGTCTTTCATGCAAATTCTAAAAATATTTTCAATAAATGCATTTAGAATAATAAGACACTACTGGGCTGTTATCAATCACATCAAATCAGCATACATAAAAACATATTTGCACTGCAGAAGTGGCACAGAACCTGCATCTGAAGTAGCATTTAGATATATTTACACAGACTGTTTAATGCAGCTCGGAGATGCCATGAATGCATTTACACAGCAGTTGCAATTGCATAAATAATGTTATGATATTAGCTTTTTAAATATAAAAGATAGTGAATATAGAAATATGAAGTTTTGTAAAATAAATTATACACTAAATATGAAAGTAAAATGTCAGTAGGTGGTGGCAAATCACTGTCTAAACGAGTCACTGATTAATTCATTCTGTTGGTTCATTTAAAACAGCTCATTCATTCAGAAACAAAGCAAGTGACTTTATGAATAGGTCACTGAATTACTGACATGTGTGGTTTTTTAATTATTAATTATTATTTAATTATTTTTTTATTAATTATGTACCATTGGATAAACTATAACATAGTTATGATTTTAAAAGGCTACCCTAAGGTGAAAATATATATATATATATTAAATCGGTTCCATTCAATTTAGAAATAGCCATACATTTCCTAGGATTTTTCTTAACAGGTAAGGCCTATAGATGTCAGATCAACCAAAAGTGCATTTGTCATCACTTCACAGTACTGTACATAAGTATGATCATTAGGGCTGCACAATTAATCGAATTTCTAATTGCAATTACAATTACGGATGCCACAATTACATAATCGTTCAAAGCAGCAATTAATCGTTCAAATTCCACTTATGTTACT